ACTGCATTTGAAAGAAAGTTCAACCATTCCTTGAACCAATGTGCTTCAGGCTGAACAGTTCAGACAGATGTTTAATCACTTCATATTCACTAGGAAATGGCTATTCAATGGCCGTAGAATTTAAAAGTGGCACTATGAGATGAATGCTTCATGTTATTCCATATTTGCATTCCCTCTTAAAATCATAAGTAAAAATAATTCAGCTGAATCCTGCACAGTTTTATCCCATAAATTTCAATTATTGTAGTTTTTTAAAATCATTAGACACCCTTTTAAATTTTTAGTAGCAGAAAAGCCCAAAGCTACTGTGGCAAGTTGATGTAAATGAACAGAGATGAAAAGGATTCTGCAGCTTCTGAGAAAAGCAGGTGTAAACTGGGTAAAAGGTGAGCACACTGTTTAACTGAACCTGCAGCAGTAATTATAAGGAAAATATTTAACTTAGAACAACACAAAAAACCCATGACCCTGAAATTTTTAACAGGTAATTCATCAAGTTTCAGGCTGAAAATACCTCTTCAGAAGAAAAATTGCAATAAATCTGCAGTTGTTGGTTACAGTGCGAAATATTGTGAAACACTTTCCTAAAAGAAAGACACAGTGTGGTTTTGATAAGATTAAGGTGAATTTCAGCAAAGCATACACATTATTCTTCATTTTACTGTTTGGCAATTTCAGTGTTGTTCTTCAGAAAAAACAAAAGTTTATAATGATTAACGTTCTGTGCTGTGGGAAGCATACACTCTACAACAATACTACTCTTGTGTCACACTAGCCTTCCTCATCTATAACATCAGCACAAATAGTTTTTCAGATGAGTAACCAGCATTTCTGAGATAAGTCCTCCCTTTAACTATAATTGATAAGGTGTGATTGTGTATTTCAGTGTCAATAGAGGCCTCAGCGAGACTTACAAACTTCCACTGAATTCCATATCAAAAGCTCAGGGCCCAGCTGAGGGGAGGCCAGGGTTTAGCAGGCAGATGTGACACTCCCATTCCTATCTTCTTCTCCTGCCAAGAGATAGTGTTGTCACCATAGTGCTCAGGGTTAGACATTTCCTCTTCAAATTGAGAATCCATTTCCTCCACTCCTGGAAATACTCTGTGTGGTTCACATTGTATTGGCAAGATAAATTATGCAAACTAATAGATACATCTAAATGTATTCTCATGCATACCTGTTTTCCAATCCTTGTTAGTGGAAAACTCATTAAAAAATTCTTTAAAGTCACCTTATAATCGCAGCTGGCAGTGTAGAATTCTAACATGCCACTAGAGAATTCTGTGTTCAAACCTGTATTCAGACACTTGACAGAATCAAGTTCACTGTGGAGATGAACACTACCACACCTGTACTGCTGTCAACCACCATTCTCTGCTTCTCTAACAAGTAGTACTTGCTCCTTCTCTGCCCCAGCAGCATCACTTGCAGTCACACAAATCTTTTAAGTCTGCATCTCATCCTCCTCACTGTCAAGGTTTTACCCAATATCCAGCTCCCCTTTGTCTTCTCCCACCACCTTCTCTCTTCCTTTAAAGCAGCCTCCTAAGCACTCTCTTTGCTTCCCTTGTCATTTTAGAGCAGTTTTACATGTCTGATATTTTACTAATTTCATACTTGTAGTATTATTCTTCTTTAATGCCACTCTGCCTGTGTGCTGGAAACTATCTCCTATTTCTTTTGAGTCACACACCTTTCATTACCTTCTTCCACATCTTTTTTTAAAAGCCATTTCTTCAGCAACAGTTTCCAGTTATGCTGTCCCCACTGGTGTGCCACTGGCCAGAGAGGGCTTAAATGCAACCATCTGGGCACAGTATTCACTCACACTTTTGCTTGAGGCTTGATAGCTGCCAAATGGGCACCTCATCTGACAACTTGCTTAGGTAAGACCCAGGTTACATTATCCTCATGTCAGTGTTCTGTTATGACAGGAGCAGCTGCAGGTTTGGGGAATGTTCTTGCATCAGGGAGGTGTTGGCCACAGGATGCTTAACTTTTATTTATAAGCATTCCTAGTAGTTAGGACAACAGGAGCTGTTTCTTCTTGTTGTTAAAACATTGATAATATTCTTAAGAATCTCCACAAACTGAAAAAACTCTCAAAATTTAGCCAGTAATGAAAGTTTGCAAGCTTGTTTTAATTCATTTTATACCACAATTGAAAATGTTGTTGATTATGTCTAGTCCCAGAGTGGACTAAAGTATTTTGGTCTTACCTTTTCTCCTGCTTACACTGCTAATGGCAGAGCAGCCTTCTCTGGCTTTGGAGTTAGAAGACTGAAGTCCACAAGAGGATTTTCCTGCAGAGGACCTTCCTCTTCAGAAGCAAACTTGAGTCTCTTTACCTTCAGGATCAGTTTCAGGCACATTCAGTTTAAGGCACGTAATTGTTTTGGTCAAAGGCTGATTTTCTCACTTTGACAGATAACATGCTTCTGCAACACATGTATCGACATGCCACGGAAACACAGTGGTGTTTGTGTTCTGCTGCGCTTACACACACTGTAAACTTTACCAGCTCGTTCTAACATAAGTGGTGCATTACTGGTTTTGTTCAATGTGACCAAATGCTTTTCCTCATCTACATGTCTTTCAGAAGTAGGCTGGTCTGGTGCTACCTTTTAGCACAATCCTCATTAAAGTCATGTTTCTTTCTTCCTAGTGCAAACTGGAGGCATCTGCTGCCCCACCTTCTTTCTTAAAATGGCAAAAGCAGCTGGCTCTAATCATCTTCTGCAGGCAACATGGTGTTTGGGATGTGTATAGAGCTGGTTATGCTATCCATTTTATGGGCTTTCCCTGGTTAAATTACAGCAAATACAAAGGAGTAGATTTTGTGAACCACTAGCAGATGTTCGCTGTGCTAGTTTTCTGAGGCTTGTAAAACAGCAGGAACAGACTATGTGCAGAACATTTTTTTTTGTGATTTTGCCATCTCGCACTGTTCTCACAGCACTGGCTCGGTAATGATAAGATAAAGCTTGGGAGGTAAGCTTTGATTGTGGAGTAGCTGCTGTTGGAATCTTCAGAAAGCCAGACCTGTAAGTGTGGTTTGTTTTCAAAAGCCTGTGGCTGAGACAGCTGGCTTACCCTGGAAATATATAATCATTTATAGTATAGTCAAGTGCTTGACCTCTTATTCAGGTATTAGGTGTTATGACATGGATGCTGAAGGTTTAAACTCTCTCAAAATTTGTTTTCTTTGGATGTAAGCTGTGATAGCTTTGTGTGAAGTGGTAATTTGGGTTACATTATCCTGTTAGGATGATGTCTCTGATTTTTGTGATTTTTTTCAATCCCTTTCTGTTCAGAGGAGAAAATGATCAAAGAATAATTTCACGTAAAAAGCAAGAGTAACAGAATCTGTACCTTTCAAGCATCTTTTTCAAATAATTAATTTAAACCTGGCCCAAGTGTATCAGTGTGGTGATTTACTGTCCTCTCTTGAGACAACAAATAATTTAGTTGAAATAGTTTCATAGTCATATACATATTGTGGGCAGAGGAAGAGATTTTTAATACCAAATCAGCCTTGCTCTGTATCTGTGTAGGAAAACATGAATGGCAGCACACAGCCTCTTGTGCCTTTGAAAGGTGAAGGGAAGTAAAGACAAATGGAAGAAGCAAAGATTTCAATGTTTCAGATGTTACAGTCTGAGCTATGTAGCAAGTGACTGGAAAGAGGGAAACAATAGTAGGTAACTTTCACAGGTGACATTACAAAAATCTATTAGCAAAAAATGTTACTTCCTTCTCTACTACACAACTAGAAAACAAGCCTGAAAGAATAAAGTTCTAAAATTCATTAGGTTATATTTGATAAAACTTGAAAATATCTACTGCATTATCTAATTCAGCTCATACAGGACTACTCCTGTGTATGACAAAATCTAGTTCTAAAGCAATTGAAACTAGATTTACAGCATTTATAGAATTTTTAATTTGTTCAGCAATTGCTGTCTATGCAGGCTCTTAGAGTCTGTTCAGCTACATAGGTGCTATTACCACTCTGAATCGTAGCAAGGCTAATGCATGCACCTCTCAACTCTTTCAGGGCACCCATTTAAAGTCAAAGACTTTGATTTAAAAAAAAAATCAGGAAGCTTAGTAAGAATAGGTTCAGGGGATATTGATGCTTACCATGACTTAATTTCACAGTCTACCTTCCACTAATTTGTGATTTTTTTTTCTCCCATTTCAATGGAAATCCTAAATTTTTTTCAGTCTTCAAGTGAAGAAGACTGAATGCAATCTAGTTGCATTTAGAGTCAGTTTAGGGATAAATTTATTCATCCTCTAAGACACAGATCACAAATAACTTGAGAAAATCTTAATGTAGGTTCCTTGTGCTGTGTGCCCACTATGTTCCTTCTGTTCCCAACTCCACTCACTGATGTATCTTGCTCCTCACCACTGACTTGTGCATTGCCCTTTCTCGCCCTACCAGTGACACCCAAAGCTGCTCAGCTTCTGCTCATTAAGAAGTGTTCTCTTTTCATAGCACCACAGCCATTTTTAGAGAGTTTTTTAACCTCTCTTCACTTTTTAATTTGCAAGGGACCTGTCTCTGACTTGGGCCTGTTGAAGCAATAATGCTTGTGAATCTGCAGATTCCTTATTATTTCTAGAAGCTAAGGTTTAAGATGGGGAATAGGAGAAAGTTAACATCAGCATTATTTCCTGCTCTTCTTATTTTGGGTAAAAATAAAATCCCATTGCCATAAATATACAGTTATTACTACTTTTCATAACAATGCAAAGTTCTGTTTTCCTAGAATCTAATCAGGAGTAAACATTCTATATATTTAACAGATAAAAGCTACAGCAGTATTCTGTTCATTCAACTGCAAACAGCAATTTTGGGCATGAATAGTTCTAGACAGTATCTCTGTTCTCCTGATGTCAGCCAGCTGTATGAAGGAGGGCTGCCTCCCTAGTGGGATGCCAGCCTTACTCCCAGAGTGATGTCACCAATGTTTGTGTTTCCTTCACAGGTTGATGACCAAATGAAGTTGCTTCAGAACTGCTGGAGCGAACTCTTAATTCTGGATCACATTTACCGGCAAGTGGTACATGGGAAAGAAGGCTCCATCCTTCTGGTTACTGGGCAACAAGTGAGTATGTGGTCTGAGAGAAACAGTCATGTCTTGTTTTCATAATAATTTTCAAAATACCAGGAGTATCACTAGGTCAGAACCACCACTGTGTTCTCAGAGATCTTTTATAAGTAGTGTAGGCAAAACCACTTGTGCACTTTGTTTCTAGTCTGCTGATTACAGATAAACCTAAAAAAGCAGATATAATCATAAGCACTTTGCTTTTCAAATACTTCAGTAATTGAAAAGCAGCAGATGAGAAGTGTTTCTCAGGAAGTAGTATTTCCTTGGGTCTAAATGGTTTCTAACAACAACACTCCCAAACCTAATGCTTTGGGTTTAAGCATGTATAGTTTTCTTCCCTTCAGAACTGTGATTTACTGAAAAGAAGCAGTGGCTGTGTCAGAAATCTAGAGAATCAGCTGCTTACTACCTCAGAAATACTTGCTTTTAGAGACACATGCACATGTGTGAGAAACTGGGCAGCTGAGACATCTAACCACAGGAAAATTATTCTGTCCATAGGCTATAAAAGCAGATAGTGTCTCAGAAACTGTCTCAGGGTATACACCGTGCAGTTTCTGCACACCTATCCAGGGGTAATTTTCTTCACGTATCAGATACAAGGATCTCCCAAAATGCAAGAGCTACAATGTAGTGAATATCAGGAAAACTGTGAGAAAACACAAAGGAAATTAAAAGTTTTGTCTCCACTATGCTTTCCAAAGCACAATGATCTTGACAGTAAAACTAGAACCTTATTCCTAAGATTGTTACTCTGCTTTTCACAGAAAGAAAAAAAAAAAAAAAAAAGAGAGAGAATATCAAAAGAAAAGCAAAGTGTGCCTGTACATTATGCTTCTGTCTTGAAGTCTTGAAAAAAAAATGATGGCTCTTTGGTATTTAAGTAGCTGCAAACTGAACTGCCTCAATTTATACACACATGGGAAAGAGCTCCTTTTCCTGTGCTAGGCCATTTGCGTCTGCATGTTGTGGAATCTGCTTACAGATTTAGCTATAATTTTAAAGATGCTGCCATTTCTTAACACTAAGAAGAAATGTTTGTAAGAATCAGAAGGATTCTGATTCTCCTGTTTGCATTTATGGTTAAGAAGTCTACAGTAGAAGGGAGAAATTATTGACTTATTCAAGAAAGGAATTGGAAAAACTCAAATTCTATCTATGGAATGGACTCCTGCACTTCATGGAAAGTCACTAACCTATCTCAGATATCATTGTACTCCCTAATTGCATTAGCAAAAGTTAGTTTAGTTGCATTACTCTTGGTAATTTATACCAAGATTTACATTGGTGCAATTGAGAAAATGACTGATTCCCTTTCCATTTTATGCTCTGCAAGATAGACAATTTTACTGGAAATTACTTCATTTACCACACATGATGCTTGTTTATAAAGCTATAAGTACATTGACAGGTTTCTGTTCCTGAGAGAACTGCTAAATTAGTGTCTCCTTTGTTATGTGATTAGCACTGTTTTAAAGGTACTGAGTGCCTAAGTCCCACTGAAATCATTAGAGGTCTCTAACTACCCTTAAATTCCAGCCATTGTCACCATTTTCCCACAGTAGTAGTTTTTACCTCATTAGCCACTTTTATCTTTCCTTGAAAATACAAACCCCAGCTGTACATGATCTCAAGGCAAAGCAGAGCGTTTCTTCACTGCTGGACAACAGGTAGCAGGATGCTTATTAAATGTACTGCTTGCAAATCAGCAGCTGGACTGGGAAGCTGTGCATTTCCAGGCAGTCTTCAACTAGGTTAAAACCTGGCTATGTTGGAATGATTGCATTCATGTTTGCCCATGTTTGTAAACTAGTTTTAATACAACCTTCTTTAAATCAAATTTCCCTTTCCTATGTCAAAATTTGTCATTTTGAAGTTGGTGCAAGCACCCCCAGAGTCTCCCACCTCCTTCTTTACTTTCCTCTTTGCACTTAGGCTAAGAGCAGGAGCGGTATCTCTACAACAGCAACAAGAATTCTACAGTCAGTCCTTTTTCCCATTTCACAATTCCTAACAGCTGCAGAACCTACTCCCATGGATGTATCACAGATTCTCTTTGACAAACAGGGAGACACTAGACCTGAATTACAGCGTCTCTGGCTGCTGATTCTGAAATCTCCCCGTAATGCCCCTGTTTTGTCCCAGTTTCACTCAGCTCTGGCCCCACTGGATCCTCAATGAAAAGCCAGATTGCTTCCAGGAGCAGGCGCCTGCCCCACTGGGCTGCGCACGGCACATGTTCCACACAAAGCTGTTGCTAGTCCAGGAGCTGCAGCAGCAGTGCCAGTGCTGTGCCACTACATGACTTGTAGGCAATTTCTGCATTGAAAGCATTTACTTTGAAGCAGCATCTTTTCAAATTATTTTCATGCGTAAAAATAATTCCTTGAAGAAACTCTTCTATTTAGATGGACAAGGCTGGGTGAGCTAAGCAGAAGTTTTAAAATATCTAGAATTGCCAGAGCTACAAATCTTAAAATCACAAGATAATCCAGACTGGAAAGAATCTTAAGGAGTCACCAGTTCAAACCCCTGCTCAAACCAGGTTTCTCAGGGCTTTGTCCAGCATCCAAAAATGGATACTGCAAAACTTCGTGTGCAGCCAGTACCACTGCCTGACAATCTTCATGGGGAGAAAGTTTTTCCTTAGTTCTCCTACGAAGTCTTTTTTTTTTTTTCAACTTACACCCAGTGCTCATAACTCTCCTCTTCCTTGAACCCTGATGCAATGCACAGAGCCCAGGAGATCTTGTTAGGACAGAGTGAGGCAAAGGTGGCACTGAGAACCTCAGCCTGGTCTATGCTTGCTGCCACAAAATCACCATCTGAATCCAGCTGCAGTCAGTCCCACAATTTCCTGGTTTATCCCAGACTAGCAATTCAACATCCCTTGCAAGTTTCAACTACAGCTGAACCCTTTTTTAACATTATCACTCCATGGCAGTGGACATGGACACAGATGGTATTTCTACATCACCCATCCTGAGTCATTCCTGGCTTCAGTTGCTGTGCACTGCTTTTGCACGTCCCTTCAGCAGTGAGTTACTTTTTTAGACAAGTGGATCCAATACAACTGTCTCTTTTCCTAACTGTCAAGGTGATCCATCTTGGAAGCACTGACTCAGACTGCTGCACTCTTAGACACAACATCTGTTCAAATGTATTTATGAAAGGACAATTAAACTGTGTCTGTATCCTCTGTAAAAACTGTAAAATAATTCTGGGAAGCCACACTTCTAGACCTGGGCATTATGAGACTTTGCTACTGCACCATTCCTGTATACTTTCTGATTACTGTCCTGATCCTTTCAGCTCCCACAGAAGAGACAGGGAAAAACCATGCCATCATTTCATAAAAATTAGTTGATTAAGGTGTGGAAAGCACTCTGACACTTCTGATGAAAAGTGCTGTAGATGTTTTTATTTCTGCTATCAACAAAGCACTATGAGCAAAATTACAGTCAATCACTTGGCTTTCAAAGATAATAACTTTAAACTGAGGACCTGAGCTAGATTGCCAACTTTATTACCTGAGAGATCAAGCTTATTGTCACAAGTTAGCAAATTTAAGACCAAGGAAGCCTCACTCCTTGCTTTCCTTAATATAACCCTCCATAAAAGCTACTCATAAACACTGTCCTTTTTACAAATCACCATCGAGGTGGAAGCTGTAAGGGGGGAACTTACCATCATTTAATTAGAACATACCTGCTCTCTCCACTTAGACTGCACAGCCTCTGTTCCTCAGACACAAAAGCCAAACTTTATCAAGGTCCCCAGGGCAGTACCACTGCCAGTGCTGTACCAGGTATCTAAAAGGGGCTAGTAGTTAGAAGAACACCTGATAATTTTCAAACACACTGGCTCAAAACTCATTACTTTAGGGCACTCCCATCACATTTTCATATATCTGCATTTCCCTCAAGCCACTGACTTATGGGTTTTACTCAGTGTCAATCCACTGTTCCCTCTTTGATGGGGAAAAAGTGCAGTCAGCAATAAACTAGTAAGCTCTGGCCCTTGTATAAAAAGAGACTGTGTTTTATTTTATTTTGTTATTTATTTGGGGTTTCATAAATGAAGCTCTTTTGTGTGTATGTGTTTCAAGAAAGCACTTTTTTCAGATCATTACAATTCCTCAGCAGTTCCTCAGAAACAAGTTCCTCCCTGTGCTGCACACTTCATTTTCTGCACTAAGTACTGCCCCTCAGCAGTAGCAATTACCATTTCAAAAGGAAATAAAGTAGCACAAATGCATTTTACAACTCTCAAAATTTCATAATAGAAAACAGCTAAGGAGTGATTTGCAATGTGGTGGTTAATTGTAAATCATTGCCAATATGCTCTCCACATGCTGAGTTTTGTAGGCTTGCCATGTGGCATGTAATTTTAACAGACCATTTCTAATTATAGAATTTTAATTCCTCCAACTTCAGCACTTTCCTCTTGTATCTTCTACCAGAGCAATACCCTGCCAGCTTCCAAGACCCAGCACATATAAGGTAGATGCTAAAGCTCTGCACAGAATATTGTTGCCCATGCATTTTCTTGGAACAGTCAATGCACAACATATGAATTGTAGCCTCATCTGCTCCTTTTGCTCATACCTACACTCTACTGCCAAATATTCCCTCTGCTGAGCTTGGCCAAAGCCTTTCCAATTAAAAAGGCCATCCAAAACCAAGTCTACATCTCAGATTTTTTTGAGATCGTTGAAACTACTGATTTATTTGAAGTCATCACACAAATGCATCTTTACACCTGGATTTCTATTCTAAAGCACCAGAGAAAGAGCATGAGATCTTGATGGTGTTGTCAAGCAAGATCACCCACGCAGAAGTATCACTGAAGTACAAAAGCACAAGAGTGTTAGAGGGAGTGGCTGCAAAGGATATCCACAAGTCATAGGTATAGAAAGCTCATGGATATCTAGTGGAAACCTATGACTTCTTATGTTTTTGGAAATGAGTAAGTATCCTTTTCCCATTTGATTT